GCAACATTCATTGGTAGAATTGTGTGATGGTCTTTTGTGCTACTTAATTTTACATATTCCAGTCTCTGTATGTACCTGCAAAGAAAGAAAAAAAAAAAATAAATAACAAAACCCCGCTTTGCTTTTATTGAAAGGGTTCCCAGGACTGCATACCTGCTCCTGAGCTCTGTTTTAAGTATGTGTATCCTTCGCTTGTATTTTGTATTAAAAAAAAAAAAAAAAGAACCACGAGGAAAAAGAACCCTTTATTGTTCAGCATGTTGGAATTGTGTCCCCTCTTTTATTTTTCTCCTTTTTGGAATATATTAAGCAACTCATTCTTCTGTATCTTTTATTTTCTTTTGTAAACTTTTCGGTTTTGTTTAAAAATGGCTTTATAAAAGGGCTTTTATAACCCATAAACACGAGTTGTGTAATTCTTCTGCCGTTTGAAGGTATCACCCTCCTGTGGTTGGTTTTCTGTGAATGTCAGCGAGGTGTAAAATGTGTTTATCTTCCAGGATGTGTGGTGGGTTTGGGGATTAATTCCTTGGAAAGCTCGTGTGTTCTCTGAGGAGGGGAAGTCGGGTTTTGGCCAGAAGAGTTGGGCAGGTGTGACCTTCCCCTCCCTACCTGTGAGGTGAGGGGGGACAAGTTCCAAACTGAGTCATGTTGGCTGTGAAAAGCCCGACCTGTGCTTTCCCACTGTTCCAGGAGAGCCGTGAGTTGGGGCTTTAGGGCTCAAACCCACTTTGAGCCATGACAAGGAGGGACCAAGCCCTTTGCACGTCACCTTCCCCTCCAGGAGCCTCCCCTGAGCAGCCGAGAGCGTTTTGTGTCCCCCACGTGTGTCCCAGCAGTGGCAGCAGCCCCACAGCTCCTGGAAGAGGACACCTGTCCATATTCCTTGGGAATATGGGATAAATCCCCGAAATCCTGCCTGGCTGGTTGTCATGCCAGCGGGGAGGGTTGCTCCGGGCACGGGGTGTTTCTCCGTGTGTTGTCCCACCCGGGAGGTCGCGATCCATCGTCTGTGCTCTTGATAAATCCATTAGAGCACATTCCATCCCGTTTCCTGCAGAATCGGTGGGAGCCCGGTAAGTTCAGAGCCGTTTTTACCCATTTTGGCTCGTTTTTTGGTGTCCTGCCCGCGCCGCGCCGGGAGAGGGCGCGCAGGGACGGCGCCTCATCCCATCCCTCCTTCCCTTGGGATGAGCTGGGAAAGGCTCTGGAATAACACCCCGGAATGCTGTGCCATAAACGGTGGATGCTGCAGTTTGGTTTGTGTTTTATTTGTGCGTGTTTGTTAAAAACCGAGGCGGTTCATCAGGATAAACACCCGGAATTGTTTGTTCCTCACAGGGATGAAGCTGAAGCTGCTTTTGGGAACATGTTTTCCTGAAAGGTTTGGGATGGCAAAACATGCTTGTGGCCCTATAAATGGGATGTGTTCTCCTTGCCCCAGATCAGCAGGACCCTCAATTAAAATGAAGTCGTGGTCTCGGAGCAGTGGGACAGGAGAACAGGGGATGGTTAATTAATATATTTGCTTTTAGAGATTATTACTTTATGAAATGTCATCTCCGTGTCTGGCTGCAGGTTCTCTACCTATTCCCTTTATTTTATCCCACAGGGTGGTAAAATGGGGTTCTGTAACCCGGGAGTGTTTGGATGCTGCTGCTGACAGTGATGGTCCAGGCTTTTGGAACGGGGGTGTTTTAATGATGGGAATGGAG